GTTCCATTTCACTGTATCTGAGGAAGTGTGTGTGTGCGCACGGAAGCTCATACCTTGAATAAAACTTTGTTGGTCTTAAAGGTGCCACTGGACCCAAACTTTGTTCTACTGAATGAAGTGTGTCCATGTGACCAAAGTTACGTGGAGTCTTTCAAGGGAAATTAAAATGATTCCGTGAAGTTGCCTTTGCTGCAGGCAGAGGACTTCTTAACGTCAGCCCAGGATTCAAGAAGGTGCTGGCTGAGAGTGAGAAATGTGGGTATTGAGTTTTACACTATCATATGCTGAATTCATCCTCCTTCAGTTCCTTTTGTTTCACTGTCTCGGTTTATACACTGTGGTAAGTTCTATGGGGCTTCTATTTGTGGGGCCTGGGGCCAGTTGACTCTCATTGTCCTTCATGCTTTCCTGACTGGATCCACTTTTTCTAGGTTGTTTATATATCCTATGTTACATTGGTCCAAAATGTGACTTTCAGGCTTACTCAGTTCTATTTACATTTATATATAGCTAAAATCACTAGAATGTGCAAATGAGAAGGACCTGGTTTGACAAACATTCAAAGAAGTGGCAATTCTGTGGTATAGGTTTACTCCCCCCACCAATGCTCCCTCTAAGCTGTGGAGTCTTGTAAGCAAGAATTCTACTTTGTGAGCTACTGGCATTAAAGTTGTGAGCAAGCGATTGGGCGACTGCATAAATTAGTTAGCTCTGGAGCCCTCCTTCCTGAGCTAAGACAAAAATCTGTGAGCCGGAGGCTAAAAAACTGTGAGCTAGCTCACACTAACTCAGCTTAGAGGGAACACTGCTCCCCACCCTCTAGGCAATACAAGATGGATCTGAAAGGGTTACACAGACAAGGCTGGTAAAAGTGTCTGAGAGCCTTCTCCAAGCATTCAGTGTGCATATGTGGTTGGGAGTTCCCTCCCACAAGCCCTAGGTCCTGTACACGGGACCTCTTCCCTTACCTCACATTGGTTCCCTGCCTAGTATTCTTCCTGCCTTTTGTTTTACAATTCAGATATGTATATGGTGGTTTATCTATCACTAACGGTCACTGGTCAAAGGCAATTGCAAAGCAACTATGTATACAGATATGCTACAGTCTTTGTTCTCATTCTTCAGCATAGTTTTCAGTAAATTTGCAAGCACATCTCTATAACCACGAGAACTGGAAACGTATTTAAAATAAAAGCTGATGTTCTCTAATAAGAGCCAATCAAATATAGAAAAAGCATTTGGTGGTTACCTGTGACTCATAAGGCACACATTACCAACCCATATTTTAAATCACAGTGCACAGGACTGTAGTGGGAAGTTTAAACTGTTTGCTTCCAGCATTTTGGGAGTTCTGGATTAAAAGAAAGCCTGCCCTTACCATTTTGGTTAATAGTCACAAATATTAATTTACATAGACTGGGGGGGGGGGGAATCCTAGCTATGATATTCTGGTTTCTTTGAATATTTTCAAAGTAATTCCAAAGATCAGAAGCCAGAACCAAATAGCTCAGGGCAGGGGCACAGACTTTCTAATTTCCTGGGGGGGGTGGGGGCTGGGCCAGAGGCATTGCTATGCTAGGTCCTTAAAAGAACCGGGGCCCAGTGACATCATAGGTAGGAGCCAGTTACATCACTGGCCACTGTCACTATCTATCGAAGTACAGCCATGTGGGATTTAGGGAGGGGTTCCCCAGAAATTTAGGGGGCGCTGGGAACCCCTCTAGCCATGACCCTAGGCTGGGCTAAACCCAGGAAAAGGTGGGAGTTGGCCAGTGGTTATAGTGGTATCTCAGTGATCTTCTGCTGTGTCCTGTTTTTGAAATTCACTTTTAGAATAGTCACTTTAAGATCTGCAAATATACATACCATGTGCATAGGACAAACTAATGGTAAACAAATTTGACCGTAAGACAGGCAACACAGAAAAGCCTGTAGGGGAACATTTTAAAAGTTTTCCTGGACATTCATTTACAGGAGTCTTGTTTCTGCTTTATCCATAAGGGCGACTTTGTACTGAAATTTATTGAAGTGGCATCACAGATGCTTTTGTTTGGTAAATGCATGGCTGGAGTCTCTGTGCACTCAATTTCTGAACAACGTAGAGTTCAGAGTAGTAGCAATCTTCTCAGTGCTCTGGGACTGGAATGACAGCCCCCAGAGTAGAATGACAGTCCCTGGGATTAGCAGGTGTTCTGGGACTGGAGTGTTCTGGGACTTGCAGAAGTGTTCTGGGACTATCATTCCACTCTGAGGGCTGTCATTCCAGTCCCAGAACACCTCTGCTACTCCCAGGAGCCGTCACTCCACCCTGGGGGCTGTCATTCCAGTCCCAGAACATTGAGCCTATTCCCAGGGGTTGTCATTCAACTCTGGGGGCTGTCATTCTAGTCCCAAAGTAGCTTATCTGGGCCCAAAGACCTTAATGGAAAAACCATTCTGCATTTTCTTTGCAACTTTTTTCATGCTGCAATGTATTTCAGTGGCGCCCATGCAAGTCAGTTGGCATTCCAAAGCATTCCTGGCTCCCATTATCTCCAGTGGGCCTTCAAGCCTCTCCCATTGTTTCCAGTGGGAAATCCTGTCATTCCTTTTAGTGCATCCCAGTTGGTTGCTCCTTTGAAACTGTACCGCACCATTTTAAGTAATAGCAAAATGAAAAGCGTGAACATGTACAGAGTGCATATTCCTTGCCAATGTTCTCTCTAAGCTGCACACAGGGCAAAAGGAAATTTTAAAAGGCCTCTGATCTGCATGTCCCCCCCTCTTGTTCATGCAGATGGGTTTACCATTTAAAAATGAAATGAAAATTCAAAGAAGAGCTTAAGAGTGGCTGAAGCAGCCCCTCCCCCACTACCATGAAAAAAACCCTGTTCTCTGTCAAGGATCTATAAATAAAGGATATATAGACCCAAGTAAAATAAAATAGAGCCACACTTTTTCTCCTAATGTAAATTGGAGCCAAGCAAGTTTGTTAGGCCCAACAGAGGCTTCACAGTCTGACTGTTGCTACATTGAAAGTGGGTGGAGCCAGCCACAGTTAAGGACTGACACACCAAACATATTCAAGAAGAAGATGAAGAGAAGAGATTGGATTTATATCCTGTCCTTCACTATCTGAAGGAGTCTCAGAGTGATTTACAATCCCTTTCCCTTCCCCTCCCCACAACAGACACCCTGTGAGGTAGGTGGGGCTGAGAGAGCTCTTTCAAGAACTGCTCATGAGAGAACTTGTGACTGACCCAAGGTTACATGAGAAGCTGCATGTGGAGAAGTGGGGCATCAAACCCAGTTCTCCCAGATTAAAGTCCTCCCTCTTAACTATCACACCAAAATGTCTCAAGGACATGTTCTGGATATCCCTGCTGGGAGAAGGGAGGGAGGAGAAGGGTGATGTTTAACAATCCCATTGTCTATCCTGCTAGCTGAATTAACATTTGTAAGAAAGTGAGTCTGGAAGGAAAAAAGTGAGCCAAAAGGAAAATAATCCACACAGGGGAAAGTTTCAAACTCAGTATTGCCAGGCACTGGTTGACCAAGGGAGGCTCAGTCTTTCCTAGGAAAATTTGGGGAACAGCTGAGCCCCCAAGCCCACCTTGTACTTTATGCTTAGGGCTCAGGGTAAGTGGGTAAGTGTCCTTCGTAGGAAATGCATCCTTGCTGGTTCTCCAGTCTCCAGCTCAATAAGTTTCAACTTGCACTTGCCTCTTGTGTGTTTGCATATATATCTGGGCAAGCATGGCTATTCATCTTGGACATTAATGGAGCCTTTGAGACTCATCCTCTAATCTCTCTGACAGCAACTTTAATCATCTGCAGCAAATCACATACATTTGCCAATTTAGAACAGGAACTAATCCCATGGGGTTGGTTATATGTATAGGCAGCCCTTGAAATTAAGTTTAGGTGCCTCCTAAATGTCTGAATTTTTGGCAGGTGCAGGGAACAGATCAGCTCTAAAAATATTCACCTAATATTGGAGTTACTTTATATTTCAGGGGGAAAGAACAAGCAAGCGAGCAAGTTCAGGTGCTTCCCGCGCTGCTGCTTGTATGGAGATCATTTTTGGAGCTTGGAAGGGAGCTCTTCCATGGATTTAAATGCAAAGAAGGGAAGGCTTGAGGGTGTGTGTGTGGGGGGGGAGAGAGTGCGGCTGCTCGCCTACCACACAGAGCCGGGCAGACAAAGGGGGCGAGCGAGGGAGGCTGAGGGAGCGCGGCAGCCTCAAGGTCACACACACCCTCCCCTCCCCGCACGAGGGGGAGAGGCAAGAGGCGCGCGGCGAGGAAGCCAGCCTCTTCCTCCTCCGCGCCGCCCCTCCTCCCCGCCCTACCTCCCCCACGCACCTCTCGTCGCCTTTCCCGCCTTGCACCTGCGAGCGGCTCCAGCGCCTCGCAGCAGCCCGTCTGTCCCCCGCCGGCTCCTCAGCTTCCCGCCCCCTCTCCCCCCACCCCCGCGCCCGGCGGGTTGCTGCGTGAGGTCTGCTCCCTCCGGCTCCGGCGGGAGCCCCTCAGGCGCGAAGCCACCAGCTGTCCAGAGGCAATCCACGGCCGCAGAGCAGCCAGCAGCCGCCGCCGCCGCCCGACGTGGAGGATCTCCCTGCCGGCTCGGGTTTCCCCGGCCGTGCCCGCCCGCCTGCCTCCCTTCCCAGCCGGGGTGCCGCCCGCCCCCTGGGCTTTGGGGGCCGCTATGCCGGAGGCGCCGTCGGCTGCCCAGCTCTCGCCGGCCCCCGGCCCCTGGTCCCGGCGCGGACGCTGGGGTGGCGCTCGCCGGCTTGCCGTGGTGGAAACCCCCCCAGCCTCGGCGGCCGCGGCCAGCAGCAGCGAGAGAGGCAGCAGCACCTCGGTGCCTCAGGAGGAGGCGGAGGCGGCCCGAGAGGAGGTGAGGACCGAGCGGAGCTACCTGCCGGTGGCGGTGGCCGCCCTCCCCGGGCGGCCCTTAGCAAAACACCTTGTACCCATCTGCATGTGACCGGCTTTGCATGGCACGCTCATTGCATCGCGATGAGGCTCCGCTCCGGCACGGGGCTCTGGGCTTGCACCCCGGCTCTGGCCGGGCCGGGCCGCTTTGCATACACAGGTACGCAATCTTCCGCTGGCACCATTGCTCTCCCCCCCACCCCCCGCCGCCGCGGCCCCGAGACCAGAGAGCCTTCCTTGCGGACTTGTAATGCAGCTCTCCTTCTTAATCGCCTGGGGAAAGGGTGGTGGTGGTGGTGGTGGGTGGTTCATCTGTGGGTGTCACGTCTTTCTACTCTGGATTAACTGAACACTGCGCCCTTCCATCCCGGCAATTGCTGACAGATTTGACCCTAAACAAACCTAGGGAGAAAAAAATCCAGCCTCCTTGAGAATCACTTGACACGGAGTTGTTACCTCTTGACCCCTAACAGAGAGGATTTCCCCACCATCACTTCAGGGCATGAATATGCAAGAGTCTGGGATCTTCATCCCTGATTGTGAGGCCTGAAGGAAGGAAGGGGTAATAGTTATGGTTCTGGGCATATAAATCTGATACAAAGGGGCATGATTTTGCATGTGTACATAAACTCTGGATTTGTCTAGAAAAGCATAGCTGATTCCTCTGTAAACAGCATGTATCCCATCACGGCACATTCCAGAGAGGTATCCTTGTTAGTCTGTTGCAGTTCATATGAGGGAAGTGTCTTGTGGTGCCTTTAAAAGACTGGTACATTTTGTGTGTGTATGTGTGTATGTGTGTGTGTGAAAAGCTTTTATGAGCCAGAGAGCTCAGTGTTATTAAAGAGCCATTTGTCATTCCTGAAGGGCAGTTACTGTGTTTCCTTTTTATGACAAACGGAGAGCCCAAAAAAGCCAAGGCTCTATGGCAGTGAAAGAGTAAGAGAACCATCTGCCCCAGAGCTGAGGCTGCTTGTTCAAAGGCTTCAGTTAGTGATGACACACTGCTTGGTGTGTTACGTGTGGTCTCACTTTCTTATTTCGTGTTACAAAAATCAGTAGTTTTCATTGCCTATAGCAATGACCAACCCTCAGAAACCTTTAAGCGTGCCAAAACTATCTTTTAAAAAAACCTGCAACAAGTTAATGTGAATGCTAAACAGAAACCATGAAGCTTTCTTTGCAGGGAGAAAATCATTATCCCTGCCATGTAAACAAACCTTAAGAGTGAAAGAGCTGCAGTTAGGGTAAACACTGAGAACATACTGCAGAGGAAGGAAGCTAGGATGTCAGAAGGAGTACTGAAAGGTTTTCGTGACAGGTAGCAGGCAAAGAAAACATTGACTTTCTTATGGTTTAGCATGAACCGTGTCCTGAATTGCTATGCACATATGAGACGGTTTATTACGGTAAGGCAGGCTGTAGATGCCAGTCAGTTGTCCACCACCACAGCAAATGTCAGTGGGTGTTTTCCACCAACCTTCTGCCACTGACTGTATGCATGAGGACTGATGTCAATGATAATGGTATGTGTGTTGGCATTCCCTGTTTCACTGGAGTGAAGAAGGAAGCCATGTCTCTGTATTTTGGACTTCACCATCTTCTTCTTTCTGTGCAGCATGTATAGTTTTGGTAGCACTTACACATATAACTAGTTAGTGCTATGATTCTACTGTTTTATTGCCAGAATTTGTGTAAATGGGTTTGAAAGATACTGTACAGCCGCTCACTGCTGTCCAGAATTTCAGAAGCATTTTAATAAGCAGTTCACTACTGTAGTTGTCAAGCTCTTGTTTTTTTCACACATTCATTAATGATAATCACAGTAATCATAATAAACATAATTAACATTTGTATAATACTCTGAAGTGTTCAAAGCACTTCACATATATTAAAATATATTAAAATATATTAAAAACTTAAGGTAGGTCAATATTGTCATCCCTGTTAGAGAGAGAGAGAGTTGTTTGCCTTGTGACTTCATAGTAGAAGTGAGATTGAACCTGGACTTCCCTCATTAGTAGCTGAATCTTTTGTCCACTATGATGCAACAGTTCAAGATGGTTAGAGGGTAGATTTTTCTCTGTACTTTAAAAAAGAGAGAGGAATGAATTTAAGTATGAGACAGTTGTTTTAATCTGATGTGAAAACGTCTGGTCAATTAATCGAGAATGATATTAGTAACAAAGAAGACTGAGGGAACTTTCCCCTGGGAAGCATCTCTTCAAGGGGGGGGGGAGTTTCTGAGAGTGTCAGAAACTGAAGATTTAGTGCCATCTTAAGCAGACCGTTGTGGGCTTAGAGGGGTGGAACTCTGTTTAGGATTGCAACACAAGTGATGTAAGGCCACTTCATAAGAATTCTATAGTCTGGTGGAGAGATGGTGTTCTTCATGGATCTACTGTATCTATTGTTGTTGTTGTTTTTGAGCCCCCGGAGGGGATTTTTTATTGTTTTTTTTATAACACTACAAAAACTATAACAGAAGAAAAGGGAGGGGAAACTACAATTATGGGATAAAGTAAAGAACCCACTACTGACTAAAAACCCAAGAGAGGAGATCCTCCTACTAGCTTAGTTACATTAAGTCTTCCCATCATCATTATATGGTTGTTTTGTAATGTAGACTAATGCTAATTCAGGACTGAGGCATCTCCTTTGACTTGAACAGGGTTATGGTACTACTTGGACTGCAAATGAGAAAGTTACTCAGTGTGAGTACCTTAAAGATACCTGGGTTCCTGGATGGAAGGTTTTTGTTACTCAGTTATGTTTTCAGATAAATGCAGTGCCTGATGATAAAAGCTGTTTTTCGATATTCAGGACAGGCAACCTTTGGATGTAGAACAGGGACAGCATGCACCAGCTCCATCATTTTGCCTTTCAGTCCTATGTTTTGTATGGAAGATGAGAAGATAGTCCAGCTTTTTTTTCCTGCCGGAGGAGCTGTGTGGGCTGGCAGGCAGTGGGAATGAATTTAGGTCATGTTAGTATAAAGAACAGAAATTGCTTTATGAAGTAGAGAATGGTTTTCAAATATATTGGTGCCAGTTTCCTCAAGAAAAGGATGTCGATCATGCCCAAATGTAGCACAAAAAAAATTGAAGATGGCTCAGGTGCTAACTAGTGCTTTCATCCCAGCATCATTGAGGTGTGGACTTGAAAGACTGAATACATCAAGGCATGCATAATTACTGGCTGTGGGAGGGTGATTGTGGTTAGGAGGAGCTGAGTACAATTGTTTGACTCCTCTTGGGGAGACCTACCTTACAACCCGAGAACTGTACAAGTAGAGACCACTACACTGGTGGAGTTCAATAAATATGAAGTTCTACTAATCAGTTATGCAATACATAAATTCCATTGACTTAAGTGGAATATTAATGAGTGGGGATGGGCAAGAACTACAGTTTTGCAGTTCAGTTCATGGCTGAACCATGAACTGAACCACAAACTGATATGCTGGCTTGTGAACTGAACTGGTTCATTTCAGTTTGTGAGTCATTTAAAATTTAAGCCACTGCTTTCTGCTCCCCGCAAAAAATGGCAGGGAGCAGAAAGCAGTTTCATGAAGACCAGAAAACAGGGGGTTAAATGGCTCAGAGCCATTTAAACTTCTGCTTTCTACTCATCACAAACTACATCAAAATTTGTAAAAGTTTGTGGTGGTTCTTCAGTTTGTGAACATCACTTTGCAAACTCAAACCAGCCAAAATTCATGATAAACTTTAATTTGTGAGTGGATTTGTGCCCATCCCTATTCACGAGTAACTGGGTGCAGGATTCAAATAAATCATTCCCTGAGCTGTGAAGTTGTTCTGGTAGTATCACACTAGTGCTGCCTGTGTAACAAGGCAATTCTGATACCTCATGTTCCTCACTATTCTCATCCCCAGTGGTCAGTTGTACAGGAAAAGCTTCTTCACTCATTGTGAATAGTAGCCAGGAGTTGGAGCCCCTTGTGGTAAAAACCTATAGGGAGGAACTGAAAAGTAAAACCAGGAACCTGGAAAATAGGAGTCTGAAGCTGAGAGGAAGCTGCTGTCATTCTACTCTTCTGGGAGTTACCTTGGATTGTCAACAGCACCACAGAAAGCACTGCTTTTTCAGAAGTAGATTCTCTGCTGCTGCAAGTCTTGAATGATCTAGAGGAATCACTAGGGTATTTAAACCATTGCATTGTCTCTGTCTAGATCTGTCCGTCAGACAGATGAGGCTCCACAGCACAGTTACTTCCAGGTCCATGTTTTTCTTTTCCAATGGCTTTCCCCTCCCTTCCCCAGAACATGTAAATGCATGTATATACACATAGGCACTACAAGTGCTGATTCAAGCTCCCCTTTAATTGTGTGAAGTTCAGATTAGCAATTTCTGAAACTCATTCAGCCTTTTCATGGTAACAATCAGGACTAGAAACTAGGAAATGAAATATGGGTTTTAAAAATCTTTATATAATTTAAAATACATTTATAATGTTAATGTTCAGAGTGCTTTGCTTGTCCTTTCAACAGTCCTCTGAGGGAGATCACTGCTGATGACACCAAAGGCCATATACATTAGATTAGAACGTGGATTTACCTACAGTCTAGCCAGATGTGCTTTTGAGGTGGTGGGATATGGGTGGAATGGACAGTCTCTGAGCCCCTGAGTCAGTGGCATACCCTCATCATTCCCAACAGAGCATTTCCCTGGGTCCATGATGTTTCTTTCCTTCTGCAGTTAGAAGCATTGCTCACTTTGCAAAGAAATATGTGCTAATTTAGGGAACATGTAGGGATCTAGGATTATGTAATTCAGTTTCCTTAGACAGAGCCTGATACAGCACATCCATTCTTTGCAAGATGACTGAAAGCTAGGATTTCTTTAGCACTAATTAAGGAAAAAATGAAGCCACCATGGCTCCAGTCTGAGATATGGCTGTTGACGGAGAGGAGCAAAGCTGACTGTATTTTGTATCTTGACCAAATGATTGCATACAGCAGATCTGTGGAAAGTGCAGCTTGTGCTTGCTTGTTATGCAGTTTCTTTTCTTCACACCCAGCAACCCTTTTGTTGTCCTGTCTGTCAAGATATGTTAACACATCAGTATCTTGCCTCTACTTTACATGATAATTCTCAAGCATAGTGTCACTGAGGTGGATCTTCAGAAAAGTGATAGTCCAGAAACTAACAAAAGTTGGGTGCAGTTGTGAGACTTAAGGCAAGCCCTCTCTCTGACTTAAATTTTCATATGGAAAGAATGCTGTTTAGACTTACAAACACTTTCAGAGTACCGACACCCTATCACCTCCTGTGAAATGTGATGTGGCAGTCATTTGAGAGCAATTCAGGGCTTTTTTTGTAGAAAAAGCCCAGCAGGAACTCATTAGCATAATAGGCCACACCCAACAGCAGAAACTCATTAGCATATTAGGCCACACCCCTGACAGCACATCTTATTAGCACATTAGGCCGCACCCCCAGGTTACCAGAAGTGTGGTCATCCAGCCACACCCACCTTTTGCTTCTTATTCTATGTACCTTGTTTGTTGTCAAAACGGTCCAGGGCTTTTTTTGTAGCAGGAACTCCTTTGCATGTTAGGCCACACACCCCTAATGTAGCCAACCCTAATGAGTTTCTGCTGTTGGGTGTGTCCTATTATGCTAATGAGTTCCTGATGGGCGTGGCCAACTCGGGAGCCAGCCGGAACTCCGTTCCTGTGCGTTCCTGCCCAAAAATAGCCCTGACATACATCTTTAAGAAGTAAATGCTTGAATGGGCCCTAATACTGTATAGCAGGTTCAATGGTGTATCAAGGGTCGGGGTGTGGTCTGCCCCAGGTGCAGCTTGAGGAAGGCCTTTGGAGGGGGCCCTTGAAGCCAGCATCATGCTGCTTCCAGCCGAAGGTCTTTCCTTTTACTTTTTAAAATACAGTTCTGGCTACAGCCACTAGGGGTGAAGGAAGTCTGAGCATAGCAAAAAGCATGCTAGGATTGGCTAAACATCCGTTTCCAAGCCAGGACGCTGATAACTGCTACAGTAATTGCCACTGCAGGTCATTTTCTCCAGTAGTCTAGCCTTTCTTCCTTCCTTTCCTTGCACCCAGATCTTGCAAAGCTGTAGTTAGAATGTTGCAGCAAGATAAAGCAACCTTTCCATCTTTTAATTTATCCCCCTGTTTCCCACACATTTCTCATTCATTTCTGTCTCCCTTCACCTAATTTTTCCATGTCCTCCCGCATTTTATTTTCACTTCTTGGTCTCAAGACCTTATCACTCCTATCCTGCTTGGTGACAGAATGTATTTAAGAGTAATATAGTAGCAAACCTTTGTTAATATTATGAACAGAAGGCACTGAGTTTGCTGGGCACTGTACATTGCATTGGTTCTGCTGGGCTTCCAACCCCCCTTGCTTGTACTGTGCTTCTGTGCTTGACATCAGCTGGCATTGTCAAAATGGCACTGGGTTCTGCTGGGCACTCTGTGATTGCACTGGCACTGCTGGGTACTCTGCTGGGCTTGCAAAAATGCCCCCCTCAGTTTATTTATTTAATTTTATTTATACCCCGCCCTCCCCACGCGCGGGCTCAGGGCGGCTTACAGTTTCTACTGCAGAGATTCTCTGGTTTGACTGTAGTTCTTTAGGAAAAAATGGGGAATGGGGGACCTTCTTTAGGCAGTAGTGTGTTTCTTAACATCCAGTCTGGTGAAGCTTGAGAGTACTATTTTGTGATGCTTTGGCTTGTGTTAGTTAATAAAAGTTAGTACAAAGGCAGACTCCTAGCTCTTAAAAATGCCTCATGGATGTTTGGGATGGTCAGCTCTTGAGCTTCAGAATGAAGAACAGAAGTCCTCACAAGTGCCTGCTCAGAACACAAGTGGTGTGATGGAATTTGTTTTTTGCCATCAAATCACAGCTGACTTATGGCGACCTTGTAGGGTTTTCAAGGAGGTGGTTTGCCGGTTGTCTGGCTCCATGTCAGCCCTGCTTAGCTTCTGAGATCTGATGGGTTCAGGCTATCCTGGGGCTATCCAGGTCAGGGCTAGGCTGAGAGTAATGTGACTGGCCCAAGGTCACCCAGCAAGCTTCCATGACACAAGTGGGGATTTGAACCTGGACTTCCCAGATCCTAGTCTGACACTTCAAGCACTACACCACCCTGGCTCTTGATGACATAGCATGTTGGAATTTGAATATCTTTTTACTGGCATGATTATATATACGAAGTTATATAAAATAAAATTTTCACTCTCTACTTTTCTTTTCTGGCCTTTGAAACAAAACTTGGGTCCAGTGGCCCCTTTAAGACCAAACTTTGTTCTGCTGCTTCAGACTAACACAGCTACCCACCTGAACCTATTTTATGGTTGTTGTTGTTGTTGTTGTTGTTAATAATAATAATAATAATAATAATAATAATAATAATTTCATGATTATTCCTGAAAATAATTTTGTTGTATAGAGGAGGGGTCCTGACCTGGATAGCCCCAGCCTAGCCTGATCCAGTCAGATCTCAGAAGCTAAGCAGAGCTGATGTGGAGGCAGGCAATGGCAAACCACCTCCAAACGTCTCTTGCCTTGAATGCCTTATATGAGGTCGCCATAAGTCAACTATGACTTGACAGCAAAAAAAAAAATAAGTAGAGGAGGGGGGTGTTAAAAAATTATCTGCCCTGGGCACCAAATAGGCTAGGTATGCCACTGAGCAGGTCCATAGCAGAGAGGGAGGGAGGAGAACAGCAGGATGTGTTAACTTAAAAAAAAATTATTAGATTTTCACACATAATAAAACCAGACATTAAAGGGTAGGAAGGGTAAAGGGTATGGGGTAAGACATATAGGGAAATTCCTTCAGGTTTGTATTGCAGCTGTCACAAGTTTCTACTTCTGTTTACAATTTCTTTTCTTTTATGTAGTTATCAGTTAACCCATTCGCTGGGATTTTCTCTTATGAATCCTGAAAAAAGAAAATTAAGATTTCCACAGTTCAAGCTAGAGTTTCCCTAAGATTTTAATATTTAAGTTCATTATTCTTGATCTTCAAGGTTTCTTTTTACCCAGTCATAAAATATTATCCAGTTATCTTTCCCATTTTGCTTACTTCTGTTTGATAGTATGTCCATTTCTTCTGTCTCAAAGATTTTTGTCAAAAGGTCACTTTCCATTGGTATCTCTGATTTCTTCCAATACTTAGCATATATTATTCTTGCTGCCGTGACTATGGGTATAATTAAATGTTTAAGTTGCTTATCTTTAACATCAGGCATAGTAAAAACATTTCCGGTTTAAATGGTAATGTTACCAAACATATTTTTTTTGTAACATCTCATGAACCCTTCTCCAATATAACATCAGATCTTTACACTTCCACCAAACGTGGAAAAAACTCCCTACCCATGTCTTTCCAACATTTATCAGACACTCCATGATACATTTTAGCTAGTTTTTCTGGTGTTATATACCATCTATAAAACATTTTATATACTAAATTCTCTTTAAAAGCAACCAATTTAGTTATTTTTACATTTGTTTTCCACATTTGTGACCAGTGGTCGAGATCAATATTATAACCAACATTTTGGGCCCACTTTAACATACAATTTTTGATCAGCTCATCCTCCATCTTTACGTGTAACAAAAACACATAACATTTCTTAATCAATTTATATTTTGTTTCATATAAAGGTCTGTCAAATTCCAATTAATCTACCTTGAACCCAGGATGTGTTAACTTAAATGGTAACGGATGCTTTTACTAATTTTCTTAATTTTTCCTAAATCTATAAAAAGATTTCTGTGGATGTTAGGTTGTGGGCAATGAGGACAGAGGAAAGGCACATTAAAACAGAAAAAAGAGTATAGTTTCATTTCATATTATTGGAGTACAAGGCAGACTGAAATTTCTTATTCTGTTAAATCTCTACCGCTTATCCAGTGAGGCAGTTCTTTGAAAACAGAATTCCCTCTATATTGGGTCTCAGCACATTTCCAGCTTAGTTTTGCATGTTGTGCAGTTTGTAGTGCCTTTTGTCTCCTCCAGACCATATCTCATTGTAAGAAGCCTCCCTTGATAATCTTCCTGAAGCAGCTGAATTAGAAATCCCTCTTGACTTGCAATGATAGCTGTCATGTTGTTTTCTCTGGCAGGGAGTAATTTGCACCTCTGGGAGAGAAGGCAAATCACCGTAGTCACTAGTGGGATTAAAATCTGCCCTTTGCCAGCATTTTTTTCAGTGTTATGATGGAAAATTGTGCACTGGCAACTTCCAGTAACAATAAATTCAAGTCCAATAGTACTTTAGAGACTAAGAAGATTTTTAGGATAGGCGTGTTTGAGAGTCATCTGATGACGTACCTGATGAAGGGAGCTTTGACTCTTGAAAGCTCATGAAAATACCATCGGTCCCTAAGGTGCTACTGGACATGAGTCTAGCTGTTCTACTCCAGACCAACACAGCTACTCTCTGAAACTATCACCAATAACACTGAATTCCTGAAAACATGCTGGCAGGGCTAGAAAGACCCTATAAACTTGCAGAGTATAAATGCACAACAGTGGGAGATGAAATCATGGTCAATCAATCAGTTTAAACAGCCACTAGTGGTCTTACCTTTACCATGTTTTTGCTTATTATGACACTAGAGTAGTTTGTTGCAGTGTTCTGTAACTGATGTTTGCATAACTGTAAAATCTGGTTTTATAGAATTTAGGATACTTTGCGGAAGACTGGACCGTCTGGAAGACAGAAGACAAAGGGAATGAATTGGAAGAGAATAGTAGGGGATTTAAAATTAGGGCTAGAGACCAAGGCACTGTGAATTGCAAGATGTCCCATGGGGAATATTCTGTGCATGTGAGCAGACCTCAAGGCTGCAGTGAAAAGATTAACAATTCATGAATAAATCCTGTTGAATGCTCAGAAACCAAAGACAGGCTTGATAAGGACTTGGGGGTGGGAGCCTGAAACACTGTGCCTTCCATAGTTTCTTGTAATTCAATACGGTCAGAAATCCCTGTTTTGCAACAGGGATATTCTTCTAAGGACAACTAATAGCAGAATATGATGGGAGGGTGGCCTGTTCCTTGGAGTTGTTGTGCTAAGATAAAAGATGCAAAGTAAACAAGGAACTCCTGCAATTTTGCTGGGCTGAGAGCAGATAGAAGAGGATACTAGGTAATTAGTACTGGCGATCAGGCAGGGTTAGCACTGTGGATACACGGAATATGTAGCATCCTGTCTTACCTATAATGTGCAGACAGCTGCACTGTCGCTGTTATGCTTCCTTAGAAATTCAGATCCACTAGTCATGGGAAACCCAAGTTAGATACCAGAATGATATGTTGTTCCACTGGCAAATGCTATGAGGGGCAGTAGGAATCACAGGAAAGCTAAAAGAAGACATTGCCATTTAGTGTTCCATCATGATAGGAGATCAAGCATAGCTGTGTTTCTCTTTTAGAGAGACTAGAGCCGGTACTGAGGATGGCCTGAGCCACTCAGCCAGTACTCAGCACAGATCAAACCAGTTATTCGTGTTAAGTGCTCTCTCATTTTTTCCATCTGTCTCATTCTTTCAGTGCTGTTACTAGTATAAAGCCACCTGCTTTCTGGGAGCAGGATGTTGTTTGGAGACATAATTAACTCAACCCCAGAGGCCAATCCTATTTTGAATTGATATTGAGGGTTAATGATGGCCTTGACACCTGGCAATATGGCTTGTTAAAATGCACTGGATATTTTCAAAACTGAACAACACTAGAAATGCACTTTCTGCTCTCAAGATTCGCTACCGTATGTTGTTACTTGTTGTGTGGGTATTATGGACTATTTAAGAAAAATTAGTGGGGGAGTTAAATGGATATTTCTAAATATTTGTGTAAGATGTTCTATACCTTAAAGAAAGACAGAATATAAACTGAATAAATAAATGAAATAACAAACTTGGTCCCAACCTCTTCCTGAGTACATTCTTTTTCCAATCCAGACACAGAAAACCTGCCAAACTCCATAGCATCCAGTATCTCCCAAGGTATGAAGGACAAGGCAAATCCTTCTCTAACAGTGCAGTCCTTAGAACGTTTTCCTGGGAGTAAGCCCCACTGAATAGGCCTTGATAGGATTCTACTTAAGATTGCTCTCTAAATGTACACCAAGATTGACAGTGCAGGTTCTGGGAGTTCTTCCCTGGTGTCAAAGCAGTATTTCCAACTCTGCCTCAAACAGAAAGACAGAATCTGTGGATACTTATATGAACCATGAACAGACAAGACAGTTCTTTCTACAGAAACCCCCCCCCCCAATAATGCCCCAGGTTTGCAGAAACATCTGAAATCTAAAAATATATATATATTGGTGGGGTCACATTTGTAAGTGCTGTCAAGTTTTGCAACCAACATGGCTACACCAGTAAGAGGTTTTCCAGGCAAGTGTTTCACCATTGCCTTCCTCTGCAGAGTCTTCCTTGGTGGTTTCCCATCCAAGTACTGACCTTAGCATCTCAGATCTGATCAGCCCATACCATGCCACTCTTCCTCTTGCTAGGGGGCTTAATCCCCCCCAAATAGAAAAAATCATATATAGCTTTAAGAAATGAATGCACTCAGTGGCTGTTGCTAGGCAATCAAAACAGTATCTTGAAGGATGCTTCAAGAGCCAATGTCTTTCAATAAAAGAGAGTAAGAGGGGCTTGGTTATAAAATACAGCCAACCTTAGTCTCAGTTATCTTACTGCTCAAGGTGGAAAGTGAATAACTTTGGAAATGATCCCCTGATGAAGCAAATTGCAAAATGCATAGGGATCTACAAGCACTAAATATTTTTTCACCTTGCACCTGTTTTTCTACATTTTTTCTGCCTACTGATGATACTATTCTTATTCCCCCCCCCCCTTGGAGTGGGGCTGCAGAAAGCTGCTTAAGAGTTACCATTACCTGGCTGCTGAGAGCCAATGCTCCGTCCAATCACCCAGAGCCATCCTGTTGCCTCCTCCCATCCAAGCACAAATGATGCTCCAGTTTAAAGCTGAGAGCTAGACTTCTAGATGGAGATTTGGGAACAGGAGGGGACAAAGGGTAGCTGTTATTTAAGATAGCAGAATTTTGAGTGGTGCCCATGAATTTTGTAATTTCTTGAGTTCAGGGGTCCCCTGTTTGAGCCTGTGGGCACCTTTGGATTTTTGAGACAGGGGTCCACACAAAATGGCTGTTACAGGAGGTGGAGCCAACCACACATCAACATACAAGCAGAAGGCGGAATGAGAAATATAAACACACATACCTACAGAAGTCTAAGAAGGGATAACGCACACTCACATACACACACACACAGAAAAGGACCAGTGGGGACAAGAGGAAGCCAAGCATTTATCCTCAAAGTTCTCTCACATACACACAGAGAAGAACACCCATATAAAGCAGAGGATAAAACACACAGAGAAGAACATCCACGAAGGTAACACAAATGCACACTGTGGAGAAACGCCATTTTAGGTATATGTTTAAGTTGGTGTGGGCCAGATAGGAGGGGACTATCAAACCTGAGGTAGGCCTTGGCCTAGTCTCCTCCTCATTTCCCCCCCGTCTCCAACCAGTAGTCAGAGGGCAGCTCCCTAGAGAGGACAGGAAGTCCATCAAGGCTGTGAGGAGATCTGCCCCAGAATGCTGCAGGAGGGAGAGTCACTTCCTGGGCGGGAAGGGCTGTTTGATATAGTGGAGGTTTTGGGCGGGAAGCAGCCTAGGAGAATTGAGGTCGGTCTGCCTGAAGTCTGGAGCCAGTCAGGCTGTCGGCTGGAGTCTGCAGGAGGCAGAGGCCATGTTGGGAGTTGTGCTAATCTAACCTCCTCCAGTGAAAGCAAGTCATGTGCCTGCCCTGCAGACCATCTAGACAGGGTATGTGTAGTGAAGGGAGAGAGGGAGCGATTTATTATCCACCTTTATTTTGATTCTTCAGTTCACTGTTAATATGCCTGTATATAGTTGAGTGGTTTCAAAATAAATCCTTTTACTGTTGACCCTGAGAAGTCCCTCTGTACCACATAGTTCCCCCAGCCGCTTGGACATGCTAAGAGTGGGTTGGGGACTCCCTGAGGAGGAGAATAAGGGCAAAACGGTCAGTTGCCAACTCTCCAGGGGAGCCCCGAGTATTACCAGGAAGCCCAAGGTGGGTTCCTAGCGACATCAGAGGGAGGTTAGGAGGCTGTCCCGCCTAACCAGAGCCCAAGACAGGGACAGTGGTGGCAGCAATACCCGGAGGCAGTGGTGAAAAACTGCCCCTTCAGGTGCCAGAGGAGGCAAAGGAGGGGTGGGCAGAGCGGGGTCTGCCAGCGGACGCGGGCCCGTTCCTCCACACACACACACACACACACACACACACACAAAAATACCAGTGGAGGGGAGGTAAAACACACACACACACAGAGAGAAAACTAAAGGGGGGGAGGGAGGATAATGCAGAAACACACACACATACAAGGAAGACTACCAAGGAAGGGATAAAATGCACAGATAAGCAGCTGCAGGGGTGAGGTGAGTATTAAATCACAGTGTTTTACTGTCCCCAGTATCTCTCTCTCGTTGTCCCCAGCAAGTGCCTAAGCATAGCAGGAGGAAGTAAAGATTTTCTCCACAAGGGTGAAGCAAGGAGTAAATTGGAGAAGTTCTTGATTTGCTTTTGCTGTGCCCGGTGTGCTGCCGGGGGCAACGAGACAGAAATGCCAAGGCAGGGAGTAAAACCTTTTGCACAATGCTCTGTGTTGGTATCTGTTTCTCCCCTGACCCTTTGGCAGCCACCTGGGAGCAAGAAATTTGATGAGAAATGCTTGGCGACCTCCTGCACCCAGGTGAGTGAACAGGCTGCTGCCACTGCTGTCCCTGTGCTCCCTCCTCTCCCCTGCCAGACACCTGATTGGGCTACTGCTGCCCCGTGATCCCTTCTCCCAGGACAACTCTCCCCCCCCCCCGCCACAGGATAGTAGATTGGGCCACCACCAAAGGGCCTGTGCAGGCACATCATTGGGGAGCACTGTTCTAGTCCTTGTATACGGTAATTTGTTAGCTCCATACTCAGAAGGTTCATTAAAAATACTAGACCAGTTTACTGATAATAGGGTGGATGCTCTCAACGTATTGTCCTTTCTCAAACTGCTTTCAGAAGTTCAGGACTTCAAGCGAAGCCAAATCACCACGTTATGCAGTGTACTGTTCCTTTAGAGATCATCTGGTCAGGTTTCTTTGTAAGAAGGCTTTTGATACTGCTGCAAGGCTGAGCACCTGCAGTTTCTTGTAATGTGTCCTTATCCGGCACTCCCTCTCACCAGGCTTTACACATCGTGAGGATCATTTTATGAAGCCTTGGAGTAGGGGAAGACTGGGCCATACAATCTCTACAGTCTGCCCAGTGACATGTACTAGAACTATGCAGTTAAAATGCTGTAATAGGGGAGATCTGGAGACATCTTTCAATATTCCTCCTCCATACAAATAGGATACATGGTTATAGAAACAGACAGAAATTACATTTTATGGAAAAAAATCAAGGATCTGGAAAAAAAACCCCATGTGATAAAGACTTCAAGGACAACAACTGTGCCAGTGGAAAGGTTGCCTCTTGCATCCTAGTAGCTTGGAAGATTGAAAAAAGCAAGGCCGGCTAGTCTAGAGTTACTCTGAGAAGATGTGAGATGTATAAAAATAGAACTAGCAGCATCCAGGCAGAAGAGAAACTGTGATTTGTAATGTATTTCCGTTTTAGCCACCTGCAGTTCTGTAAGCAGCACATCGGTAGTGATTAAAGCCAATCCTTTATATTTCTATCTTTATTGTTTTACATTCCTATCAAACTTTGAGGCCCAGATAAGCAAGTGCAGGAATTTCATCTCTAGCAACAGGGATTGCTTCTAGTTCATCCTCAGTGTGAAGATCACCTTTTCGTTTGTAGACACATCCAGAGTATAAAGGTAAAGGTTTCCTTTGCTCAAAAGCCAGTCGAATCTGACTCTAGGGGGCGGTGCTCATCTCCGTTTCCAAGTCAAAGAGCCAGTGCTGTCTGAAGACGTTTCCATGGCCATGTTGCTGGCATAACTAAGTGCCGAGGTGCATGGAACGCTGTTACCTTTCTACTGAAGCAGTACCTATTTATCTACTTGCAATTTCTTGCTTTTGAACTGCTAGGTCGGCAGGAGCTGGGGCCAGAGATGGGAGTTCACTCCAACAGACAGCACTAGCGTCTCGAGCTGCTGAACTACAGACCTTCCAGTATGCAGCTCAGTGTCTTAACCCCTAAGCCACCGCGGCCCATCCAGAGTATACAGAGCCTCTGGTTCCCTTGCTCAGTATGCAGTAGGTATCCTCAGCAGTAGAAAGGAAAATGGGTTTTGCTGAACAAAGTAAGGAGTAAAAGCCATCTTTGATCATTACACACTTTCCAGCATCAGGCATTTGTAGTGTAAATCCTATTCCCTGCCCATGGCTGTATATCTGTAGTGTTCACAGTTCAGTCTGACATCTCCACCAAATTTATTATGAGAAAGGGAAAGCCCTTCTTCCCTCTCTAAGCTGATGGGAGTAGAAATACCAAGTACTAGAGAATAATGGAGGAGTCCCAAGTACTGCTGTCCTTCCCTAGTGTTTAAACTCTGTACATCCTTTCTTTTTTTCATAACTAAAACATACGGTTACACAAAGAAATTACTTCGAATGAGTTTACTGGTGTATGTATGAGCCCAGAGGACTTGGTTGATTCCAAGTTTGTTGTTCTACTTTTCTTTGTTACTGCTGTGTTTATTCTGGAATATAACTGAAGCGATATAGAGACAGAGAGATGTCAATCTCATCTGATTGCTTTCCACTGATAGAAGGGAAAGGAGCCATATCTAGACCTGGCAGGTGAATAGCTTGGATTCCATAAATACTAATAATTTGTCTTGAGAGGAAGGTTTTAAACTGAGGGCAGAAATCACTGGGAAAGGGAGATAAGTGTTAGTAGCAAATTGTGATAGAGGCGTCGTTGCCATTTCCTGGGAGTTACATACATCAGATGGGCTTCAAGTGACAGAGGGGAAGTTTATGTGTGTGGGAAGGGGGGACAATCTTGCTTTGTGACATGAGCTAATTGACGAAGCAGCCATTCAGCTGCTTCATTCAGAATGTAAAAGGATGATAATATGCTCATAAGTGCCAGGCCAAGTCAGCATGCCATGGGTCTCATGAGCGCACATGAGAGAGGAATATGGCAGCCGTAAGTGGCAGGAAATAGATACTGGGTTCCCATGTAAGAAAGGGCCAAAATACATGATATAAGTGACATGAGTCGAGTCATAGGTGCCGCCCCGAGCTGACTTGTAGTCGTGCATATGATCGGA